AACTGATAGAAACAGGTTTTGCTTAGCAAGAGCCAGTGAGTTTGCTGTGGTTGGTGCTATTTGTTAGGCGGTGTAGTGTGAATCAACTGTCACTGAATCATCATCACCTCCCCTTAAATAAACAGCCTGAAGCTGAACACATGTCCTCATAACCTTCTCCACACACACACACACACACACACACACACACACACACACACACACACACACACACACCTATATTATGTACAATATGCGTTTTATACTCTTTAATGTCATACAGTCTCTGTGTCATACATACGCTGGTCAGGGCCTTTCAGAGAGGCAAACGGTCAGTTGGTCAGCTCACACTACTATGAAATCCTAGTGAGGCAGAAAGCACAGATCAATAGCACTTACCTTACATCTTGTTTCTGGTCCCAAAGGGTGCCTGAAAGCAGTGGCCTTTGAAAACAATGCCAGAGAGAGGGAGAACAAAACCATTTCAATATTTTTTTTTCATGACTGAACAAAACATACAAATGATGCATACAGTGAGTGTGATACTTGAATAACATAAAAACTCTTTTCAATCAAAGCACTTTTTTTACAATTACATTAGACTTTTTTTTTGTCTCAGTTAAACATAATGTAAATGTTTTTGGAGTTGAATATACATGCTTAAAATCCACAGAACAAAACAAATGCAAATGACACTGCCTTAGGTAGTCCTCATTGTCTGTGTTATTTTTGTTTTCAGTTGGTGAGACATGGTAAACTCGCTTCTCTGGCTTTTATTTTCTCATAGCCACAAGGCAGATCAATGAACGTGTGCTAAGTGTTGTACTGACTAAGCTCCCTAAGCTTTGAAGAATTTAAAGGAACACTCCCCCTTTTTTGCAAACATTTTACAAGTCACTCACAGTTAAACAGTTTGATCATTTTTTTAATCTATTCAGCTGATCTCTTGGTTTAGCAGGAGCACTTGTAATTGAACTAGATTGGACCATTAGTGCCAAAAAGAATTTTAATAATGATCAATATTTAATATCAAGAAACTATGCTGCCATACCATAGCAATATCATTTTTTTTCAGTTGCAGTTACTGCAGCCTTTTGAGTATTACATCACTTGTGCTAGGAGTCTCTCTTAATTCACACAGTCTTTTGATGTTTTGCAAATGAAATGAAGTAAGGCTTGTGCTTTACTTTTACAGCAGTTTTTGTATTTTCCTGCTTATTTAGGGTGACACAGTGGTAGGTAGTCCTGTTGCCTCACAGCAAGAAGGTCGCTGGTTTGAGCCTCAGTGTAGAGTTTGCATGTTCTCCCTGCGTTCACGTGGGTTTCCTCTGGGTGCTCCTACAGTCCAAAGACATGCAGTACATGTGAATTGGGTAGGCTAAATTGTCCGTAGTGTATAAATATTTGTGTGGATGGATGTTTTCCAGAGATGGGTTGCGGCTGCAAAACAGGCTGGCATCAGCTTTTTAATACAAACCTGCATATAAAGAATGTGACTGAAATTTTTTTTAGGCTTGTTAATTAATGATTGCTTTAAAAAATGTAACTTTGGGCAAGTGCTATGTGGTTTTGCTGTAAGATTAAGAATTCACAGTGGAATACAAGCAGTGCTGGACATTAACTTCACCATTTCTACTTGATTTTACTGCATTTTTTATTTTGGAAAACCTTTACTTTACTACTTTCCAAAACAAAATAAATTGAACTTTTTACTCCTCAACATACAGTACGAACAACTGATTCATTCATTCTTGAATATGACATATTGCATCTTTCTTCAACAACTCTCAATTTGAATGATGTTTAGACAACTCAAAGACAAAAGATCCTGTTAGCAGAAGTTCTTGCAACTAATGCAAAACATTTGGATATACATATTTTATATAATTACTTTTAGCATTTAAATACATTTAAAAACAAAACATTTTTGTACACACAAACTCCCAACCCGTTAGTGGTTGACAATAATCAGTTGGTTTCTTTGCATGAGGGTGCAACTCTATCAGCTACCTTGCTCAGTAGTCAGGGCATTGGTCAGGGAGTCAGCCATTTTAAGGTCTGTTTCGATCGCGAAAGTGTCTCGGTGCACTGAAATGTTCACTCACTGAAATGTCTTTTGTACAATTAACCAATAAAATCAGTGAGCGAAGTGTACTATGTTTCCTTAACGGAAGTTCTAAAGCCTGAAACATGACTCACATGAACCAAATCACTAAACATAGTGATGAAAGAGAGACAAATGAAACCATTGTCCATTATAACTATTGTGAGTATTGTTATCTATATTTAACAATAAAAGAACATGAGTTGGACAATCCACTGTAACAAACATTTTTAAATGATAGAATATTGAATTGTTGCTGGTATATTAAATAATTTAAATATGTGTCTATGTAGGTACTTAAAAAATAATAATAAAAATGTGAAAAATATCAGTTATGATGTTATTTATAATTTCCAGTTTTAGGATTGTATAACAATTACATTCACGTCACGCTCAATGTCCTAATGTAGTGAACCAAACTCATTACTGTCCTTACCGATGTCTGAAATCATCTACACCTATTAATTCACACACTAGCTAGTAGTTTGAGACACAAAATGTGTCTTTTTTACATTTATAGATTTAAAAAGTATAATGTACTGTACTAGTAACTGTGGATCTCAGACTTGTCAGATCTAGGGCTTAAGGCTTTGGTCCACGACTGGACTCGTCATTACCACTGTTAAAAAAACCCCACAAAGGATCGCTTCTCCACATAGATTATATTCTATTTCTTTTTGTTCAGCATCTCACCTGGATTTCATGGTCAGAAAATGTCTCATCAGTGCTCACCTACTGGCGTTTGTAGTCTCTCTCTTGTTCTTCTGATCAACCTTGGAGCATTCTGTCACATTTCTGAGCTCTCTCGTTTGAAAGAAGACTTTCACTCATCCTGAGAAATCAAAGTAAAGACAGCTGCTAAAAACAGTAGAGCAGGCTCAATTAGTTTTGGCAGTGTGTCCTCAGAGCTCTCTCTGCTAGGAAGGTGTTTCATCATGTGGCCATGAACACACTGAGGGATTCTATTGCAGTCTTATACAATTACAGAGTAATTAGATTAAATTACTACATTGAACAAACATTTCTGGTGATGGCATTGATCTCCAGTTATCTATCTATCTATCTATCTATCTATCTATCTATCTATATATCTATCTATCTATCTATCTATCTATCTATCTATCTATCTATCTATCTATCTATCTATCTATCTATCTATCTATCTATCTATCTATCTATCTATCTATCTATCTATCTAATTTTATTATATTTTTGAAAACCATGGTTGTCAAAAAGAGTGGAACTCTAGACCTGTATAAGCCTGTATATAATAACAAGGCTCGGACACAGCAGGCGGATTTGTTTTGCAAAATTACAAACTGTATACAAGATATCTTGATAACTCGCACAGTTTTTCTCAGTTGCTTTGTTACATTTCTAGAATCATCCTTGAAATTAGCGAAACAGTAAGTGCATGCATCAAAAAAAAAAAATAAATAAAAAAATCAAACAAATAACAAAACACCAAAAATTACCAGCAAAAGCCAGTCTCTTGCTCAAAATCTTTCTCTCAAAAATAAATATCTGTGTCAATGAACATGTCAATCAGAATGACAAGTCCTTGTGTCATTGTGTGCGGAAAATTGCTTAGTCAATGTAACAGTGTTCTCAGTGGTGATGTTCTGATGTAAACAATGGATACAGTTTTGATAACAAAAGTACTGTATACTATATTTTTTGGCTAGACTTTGTGTGTGTGTAAGTTTGATTGCAAGAAACAAGATTCACATTTACACGTTTACTGTTTGTACTGTAATTTATTCACAGATCATGTCATTCCCATACACAACGGAAAAGAAAGCACTGCATAGCACAAATAGAGAGAAAAAAGTAGAAATGTGGAAATAGGACATTCTCCTTTTGAATGCACCTACAGTACGCTACAAAATGTCAAGATTCGCCTGGGAGCAGTTTACCAGTACTAAATAGATTTAGACCAAAAGTTTTATGGAAATGTATAGAAAAATGCATTATGACAAAACATTATGACAGCTCTAATAAAATGGGGGTAAATTGCTTTTTCAAGTACATATATTCACAATTAAAGCCACAATTAATGACAGATTGTTCCTTGATGTAATACATTGGACAGATAAACGGTGCCCTTGTTAGCATGTAATTATTCACATAAGTACAGAGTAATATTAAATAGTAGCATACTGTAATGTTAGTGTTAAGATTAGTCTAGGTATAGAGTTATTTGAATGTAATTTTACATAATTTTGCATACATTTGTTATTAAGTTCATGTAACATGTAGCAAAGATATTTTTTATAAACTAAATGTTACAAAAACCTTTAGGAAATATCCTGTTAACTGTTTTTTTATTGGATTTAGACAGATCTTGAACTTTTAGACAACTGTAAGACATGGGTGGGGTTTTACAGGAAGTATGAGTTATGCCAGTTTAATTATACATGCAACTTCATTTTGGTAGACATTATTGTAACGTATGATAAACTCTTAACAAAAGATCATTAAGACGCATTAAGGAAAGAGTACATTTCCAGTTGTATAACATGAACAAGTCTAATTTGAAATAATGATAGAAATATATTATTGTAAGCAGAGATGTGCTGTTTTTATGATATATGTTTTTCAAATACGGATTTGAAAAACATAATAGTTTTTTGCTATTTGTATTGGATAGGGTTGATAAAAATGGCTTAATATTTTGTGTCGACCCATTATAATACAATTTAATCAACATGACATAACCAAATGATAATGTAGGAAACAGCAGAGAGTTATACATAATCATTTGCATTTATAATACAAAGCATTTGCAACTTGTTTAAAGAAATGAGAAATTGCTTGTTGATTTGAATTTCAATTGATGGGAATTTCAACCAAAAATTTTTTTTCTTTTTTTTTACGTTTCTTTGAATATCTCAAGCATTGATTTAATTTATTGCAGAGTTTGGTGGTGGAGGATTCAGCCGGCAGCAGTAAGGATGCTGACAGCAGGCCACCAGTAGTCTCTTTGGCAGAGGTGTCAGAGCAAGACCACACTACATCACTTGAACCCAGACTGACTTCTGCCACATCGTCCCTGTGCAGCCTGAAAGTGGAGAAAGCAGACAGCTCAGCTCCCGGTGAGTATTTATGACTTTCTTCCTGAGCCCTTATCTCTTTTTGTTATGACAGTCTTCCGTTTTCTTGCAAGATAATAATTGTGGTGGAGCCTGTGGTGGTGAAGAAAGATTTCTATTGCGTGTTGTGCTTATTTTGTGTCTTGTCTTTGAGTGCACCACAGAGTAAGTTGGTACAAAAGTTGTTGTTGTTGTTGTTGTTTTTTTGGAGGGCTGTGTTTCAGTTGTGAATGTGTTGTTGGTTGAGGAATTAGTTGTGAAATGTAACCTCAGCAAAATGGATGAAGACAGCATCTGTAGTGTTGTTTTAAGATAAACAAATAGTAATGGGATTTTTTACTCAAAAATGAAAATGTACTCATTATTTACTTACCCTTAAGTGGTTCCAAACTTTTATGACTTTCTTTTTTTCTGTTAAGCTGCACAGAAGATCACTTGAAGAATGTTAGAAACTGGTAACCCTTGACATCTATAGTAAACAATACTAAGTAAGTCAGTGGTTACCAGTTTCCAACATTTTTAAAAATAATGTGTTTTGTTTAATAGCTTTGTGACAAGAAAATGGGCAAGTAAATGATGACACAATTTTCAGTTAGCATGAGCTATTCTTTTAATCATTTATTCTATTATACTCATTTACATAATATTAATAATATAAAAATAATCATAATCATCATTAAGCTTTTAATGGCTGAGCAATTTTTTAAAAAAAAGCTTTTATAAGTAAATAAATCTAAATGCAAAACAATTTTTATAAAGTCATTCTGCTCTCAAAATTATAAGGTAACTCTTTATTTTGATGCTTTTGAGGAAGCAGACAGTCTACTAATACTCAAATGGACCACCAAAATAAAGTGTTACCTTATAATGTTTAATAATACAATGTATTACTGTCTAATTATTTGTACAATTTAGTAGAAATGTTAGTCAAATTTTGAGTGTTGAAAAATCTTTTTGATCTATTCATTGTTAATTATTATGATTTTATTACAAAAAATACAATTTTGTACTCTAATTTTTCCTTATACTGTCATCTTTAAATAGTAACCAATTAGGCTGAATGCTGGATTCATTTGCACATGCAGATTATGATATCAGCTGTATAAATGCTGCAATTAACTCTGAAACCAGTAGCACAAATAGTTGATTAAAGCACAGGCTACATGTACAATGAGATACAGTACACTCTCATCAGAAATAAAGGTACATGAGCTCTCACTGGTGCAGTACCTTTTCAAAAGATACATATTTGGACCCAAAGAATCCACATTGGTACCTCAATGGGGCACATTAGAACCAAAATGTCCCTAAAAAGTACTTTTGAGGTACCATTATAAACCCTTCAGTTTACAAATTTGTACCTTTTGAAAAGGTACTGCCCCAGTGACAGCTCCTGTACCTTTATTTCTGAGAGTGTAGTAACACCAATCCAGATTGTGTCATTTATTTGTTTTAAATATATTTTATAGTCTAGATCGAATGTCTTTATAAGGCTCAAGTGAGTGCAATGTTAAATATATACCTTAATATTATCTTGATAAATGGTCCAGGCAGTTATTTGTGACTAAACAAAATTAAATGTAATAAAATTAAATGTGAGTGCATTAAAAAAAGAATTAAAAACAGGAATTTTAAATTGGTTGCACTTTTGTAAAAAATTAAAAAATTGAATTGGGCAATTTATATATAAAAAAAAGTTTCTGAAATGTGTACTCATCTCTGGCGTCTGGGAAGTGATCTAAGCAAGAGTCAAAGCAAAGATGAGCTGATCAAATGAGTTTATACTAAAGGATCACATTTCATCACAGTCTATTATCTGTGTCTTTCACTAGCTGTCTCTCAGTATTGTTTTGCTTTTGCCTCCAGCTCTTTTTTTTGTCTGTCATAATGTGTTTTAGTATTACGCTTGACACAGCTCCGGATTTTAGTTAAGGGAAGTTTTTTCTCTCTCTGGGTTGGCAGGAAATTGTGGCTCATCATTTCCGCCATAACCACCTTTAGCATTAAGTGAAGAGCATTCACATTTTATTTAAATCAAGCATTTAAGCAGCTGATGAGCAAAAGTAGTTGAGGTCCAATGGTAATTCAAAATGCTTTACATAAAAGAAGTTTAATTAAATAAGAAAATGATTATGTCACCATAGAATTGTCTATGTATAAGCATATACAGTACTGTTAAAGGGGTAGTTCACCCACAATTCTGTCATCATTTTCTTTACTTTCATTTGTCACAAATCTGTTTGGGTTTCTTTTTTTTATTTTACCTTTGTAAAATGTTGGAAATCAGTAATCATTGTCTTGCATAGAATGATTAGAAAGATTTTTTGTCTAGCTATGGAACTTTATTTCATCATAAATCTACTGTATATCTTTGTTATTGTTTTGAATATGTGACCTCTAACATTTTGAACTGTTTGCATACTCAGTCCCTAACTGATTTAAATTGCATAAAAGAATTAACCCAAATACACATTCTGCAATGATTTACTCATTTACTCAACATCCACTTTTCTGTTTAAGCTTCTTACTTCAGAGGTAGATATACTAAAGAATGTTGGAAAAAAACAGCTATTATTATTAACTTCTATACTATTTTTCACTACATTCTTCAGAATATCTTGTTTTGTGTTCAACAGAAGGAAGAAACTCATAAAAGATTAGAACTCGAATGTGTGTTAGTCACTCAAGTGTGACTAAATAATGAAGACATTTTCAAATTTGGGTGAACTATCCCTTTAAGTAATGCAAATTTTTTTCCTGCTTTACTTTTTTATTTTTACATTATGCTGTTTTAATTTTTTAGATTATCTAAAACATGTTTGCATCCACTGTAAATGACTGTAAATGGTACAATTTATGATTATAAACAATTCTCATTCTTTTTTAAAAGTTTATCTGCTCTGGGGAGCGTTTCCGAAACCATGGTTAGCCAAATAAATGTCGTAAGCTGTATCGTTACAAATGTTTCCCAAATCTATTGCTCCAATGCCCCAATGCAAACTACAAAACTACCTCTAGATCTGTAGTTAAAAACATAGTTCCTGGCTGTGTTCTATTTCCTGTTATGTTCTATTTCTAGTTCCTCTATGCCCTATTCATTTAGAACATTCTAACATTTAAACTCAAAATTATTTTAAAAAACCATTAAAGTCATCTCTCTTAGCTGTAATTTGCTTTCAAAGTATTTTTACAGTTCAGTTTTATCCATCTTCATGTTTACAATTGCACTTCACAGTGCACTTTGAAAACATTGATGTAATCTTGAACACAGAGGTGGCTCATGACGAAAGCTATAGGTGATCAATTATTTAAAAGCGGAATTTACGTTGTCTTCAAATCTTGTGATTAAAAAAAAACATATCATACATTAAAGCTTTTCATTTATACACTACATCGTTCTTTTCACAATGATACATCACACTATAATAGTTCAGTCGCGAGTTAAGTCATTGTTTGGGAAACGCACCACAGATTGGTTGTGCCATGTCTGTTCTTATTGATCTAGCTTTCTTAGGGCATTGAAATGTAACTCCCATTACAATATCTTCAGTTTCTCTGGAAGGTTCCTTAGTCTAATAACTCAAACAGTAGGAGACTATTTTACCCTGCCAGTTCAACCCCAAATATTTTTGGAAAAAAAAAAAACTACAACTGCAGTATAGCTTTGTAATCCTTCTTCATGTAGTTAACTTGTTAACAAAGGTTTGGTGGCGGAACCACGTCTCACGCCTAACCAATCACCTACTCCCTAAAACATATTTAAAGCAGATCAGCCCTCTAGGACTTTTCCTCTTGTTCTTTCAAAACCCCCCTCCCTCCTCCCCTCTTTCCCCCTATTTTCTTGCTTCCCATCCACAATCCTATAACCCTCTCTTCACTCCTAGGTTAAATTGAGCAGTCCAATCACTGTACCAAAATACTACAGAGACGGTACCCCCACTCTGAGTCTCTGGGCATCATCTTAAGACGCCCGATCAACCTACTTATCTGTTCACTGTTTATTCTCTTCCCTTTCCCTTCATCTCACTGTTCTCTTATCATCCCCTTCATCCTTACATCCCTACAATAAAGTCTAGCTCAAATTGTGGCATGGTCCATGCCAGTGTTCTAAGCATTAAAGCATGTGTGACAATCAGGGTTTGACATTTATTAGCATGTATGGTAAAAAAGCCACCAAAATCAACATAAATCCGCCACAAATTTAGGAAAAAGAGACAAAAAAAAGAACCTGTCTTTGCACAATTTTGACTCGCATTGAAGTGAAAAGTGGAAATGAGTAAAAAATATCAACTTTACTACATTTAGATTCTCAGTGAAGAATGTGAGTCAATAACACGTTTCTGTTTAGCTTTTTAGCACAATCCAATCAGTCAAAGCAGAGATTAGCACACAAGCGTTTAGTGACTAAAGTCTGCACGCTAATGTCATCATTAACAACAAAATGCAAATACAATACCAGTAAGTGATTCATTTCACGACTTCAGTGATTAATCCGTTTTTGTCTAAGTGCGTAAGCTGCCCTAGAATACATCATTGATCTGTACAACAAATGCTTCATCTTTACAATATTAGCAGTTGCTAATGTCTTGATTTAGCAGTACTTAATAACTGTTACTTTATTTTTGGAACAAAAAAAATGAAATTTAAAAGTATGCAGATCTCTTTTTTCACTTTAGACCTGCACACAAGCACTCGTGCACATACTGCATGAAAAACTAGTGTTTAAAAAACATTTTTTCTAAATCTCTTAGCTTTGATGTTTGTTTGGTTTCACAGATGTGTTCTCACCCTGTGAGGTGTGAAATTTGCACTTGACATTTCTTTTCAGTGAAAGCGAATCAATAAACCAGTAAAGTTATTTTTAGATTATCGCGCCATTACTCAAGAAAATTTACAACCAAGCTCGCATTGAGTAGAGTCCTTTTGGTCAAGTTTGAACATCAGGAAGTTTGCGGTTACCGCTGTATGTGTAAGTGTTTAAACAGAAGGCAGACAATCTGCTC